AATTGCCAAGAATGAGCACCCACCGTTTGCAGTACAATACTGTTCACTGGTTTGCTCTGGAATGTAGGATAGATTTACTAATTAATTCTTAAGGATTATACTTCCTCAAACTTTTACTGCTTCTTGTCGTCTTTTGGTGTATGTACACGAATCCACCAGTCTAATTAGAATCGGTAACCGAGAACAGAGAGCATTTCTGTCGAAGAAGCCACTGCTTATATCCTCCAGAGAAATACGTTAATTTTAGTGGGGATAATGATGTTTATTCTCCCAAGGTGTTAACGTCGCTTTTTCGATTTGATATTTTGATTTATTGATTGATTTGATTATTTAATTTTAGTAATTGGATTAGCGGTTTCTTTAAATACTAGCCTACTGGTATTCCTATTGTATTTGGCGCGTACCGGCTGATAGCGCCTGGGCACTTGTTTATTTTGATTCCAGTCGCACAACTGGAGTTTGAATTCTTAGAATATTAAAGGTAATAATCTTTAATAATATTTGCTTATGACTGTCGCTGTGACTAATTTCAAGGGAATTATGCAATATTAGGAATTTAAAGTCCTATTTTCCCTTTCCTTTATCGGCGTCGCTATGAGACGTCGATAGAATTTTTTAGAAATTCTGGAATCTGAGGAGTTCTCTCAGATATTATTATGTACATCCACAATGCGCTATGCACTCTTATGTCGGACTCTTGCCGTATCCATCATCGAGGTAGGGTGATCGGGAAGGAAAAAGGATAGAGGATAGAAGGGTATAAAAGCAGAACGTTACAACATACACTACCGGTCAAAAGTTTAGGTTCACCTCGCTTTCTTTGTAACGCTCCCGTGACTGCAGTTTGAGAAACATCACATTTAGAAGCAATTTTTCGCGTTGAATAACCTTCTTCGTGTAATTCCACAATGACTGCTCGTGTCTCTACACTCAGCTCTGCTTTTCGACCCATTTCTCTACGATTGAAACATAAAATATGTAGTTTTCTTCACATTTCATAAATGAGATGATATTTGTCGAATTACGTCAATTTAAATATAAATTTTTTTTAACAGTAACGATTTTCAATATGAAAAATGTTCTATTTATCTTTTTGTAAAGAAAAATATGAAAAACAATTGAAAATATAACTTTTGGAAAGAGCTGTCGCAGCACTAAGATGTTACGCGTAATATGCACTAGACGCATCGAGAGATTGCAACCTGTCATACAAATTTTGTGCTCGATCTACGCGTCTCCCAAACGCGCCAAACTCCCTCCTACACTCTGACCAGTAGCGTGTATCGACTTGTTATAGGTAAGACGCACGTACTTGACAAAATTCACTGAGTAGCCGACTTAATTGTGTAGAATTCAAAAATAAAGCAAGTGAACTTAAACTTTTGACCGGTAGTGTAAATTAACACAAGCAATACAATCAGTATAAAATCGTCAAGAAGAGTGACACGCTTTCAGAGAGTTTATCAAGAAAAATACTTTTAACTAGCGGAACGAAATTACTAATAGGCACGCGATTAATATTCAGTGTGTCCTTTATTCTCAAGTCGGGCGATTACTCAAAAAAAAAAGGTGACTCTACGTTAGACCAACGGCGTAAGGCGTCGAGAAATATTACAACAAGACGGTATCACTCACAATTTAGTAAAATAAAAATATTAATTGGTTTAAGAGGAGGATGCCATTCTTAATAACATATGCGAAAAATGGGTACAAGATATAGGTTTGAGAAAAATATTCAGTCGTAATTCGATATAATAAAGTGACAAATAACACCGGAAAATATAGAAAAGAAACAATATATGAAATTAAGGCCACAAGATTCCTCAACGGGGAGACGGTCAAGTCGGAGACACCGGGGTTGTATACGTTTCCACGCAGTCGGCAAGATAGTCGGCAACTTAGAAAATATTCGACAATTCCAAAGCACTAATTCACAGAAAATCACTACTGAGCAGGATACATTCGATATAAAAGATAACTCTACGGAAAAGAAAAGCTAAGTAATATAAACGGTATCCGGCCCTATCGTTATTTTACTTAGAGGGACTGGAACAACATGCAGTCTCGTTAAGCGAGAAAATGGCCGTCGAGACAAAAAAGCCTAGACGGTTAATATTTCAGGTAAATTCGCAACAAATCTCAAAACTTGGTATCGAAAGGGGCTCAACCAATATAAATGGTAGCGAGATCAGGAAAGGTAAGTCCACGGACTTCCTTCCTTCTATCTGGCTTCCAGTAAGTCGGTAATCGGCTGATTTTGTTCACTTCTAATTGATACTGTTTACTAACGAAATAGGTCCACCAGCCAAGATGCTCCAAACGTAAGTGAGGAAGCCGCCAAAGGAAGAGCCTGAAGGGCCCCCCTCCATAAATTAATACTTTCTAATTCGCCCGGTAGAGCGATAGCAAAATATAATAATACAAAATAGGTAAATCTAATGCTTGACGGTAGCCAAAGACGAAGTATTAGGCGGCTAGAGTCCGAAGATAGGCGGAGAGGGCCGAGCTGAGTGCAGAAGTCCTTAGTGTAGCCGATCGTGAGTCCTCGGTGCGAGCAGCAGGATCCAACGAAGAGTGGGCCCTGGTATCTTCTCCGGGAGCCACTGATAACGGGAACGCCAGGGAACGTTTTGCGACTGGACGGCACGATAGAGGATTATCCTTTCCTCCTATCGTCGGCCCGTATGGACGGCCGGCAGAAGTATTAGAGGGATCCCATCCCGGGTCTCCCTGGCTCCATGGAAGTCCTCCGGAACGAACAGCAATTTGGTCCAGCCACTGTCGGTTGCTCGTCCGGTAGCTCAGGAAATCTCGTTGGCGGTCCGCCTCGTGCTCTTGGTGTTGAACGTAAATTTGCACAGGACGATAGAGAAGGTAGGCGAGTGCGAATAGGCTCCAAAATAAAAATAAAACGAGAAAGCAGAAAGGCGGTACAGAAATAAGTATAAAGTACGATAGGCGGAAACAGAGTGCGCAAACGATAAGCGAGACAAGTAAATCGGTCTTTCGAATGTCGGGTGACTGACGTTTGGAGGGTCATTGCAGGTGGATTTTGTCTTTTCCCTACTCCTAGCAATCTTTGGGACTGAATTTCCGAAATTCACGTCACAATATACATATACACATACAATTGATTAAGGGATATTTTGGGGATACAAAACATTAAGAGGCATCCACAATGTTACGTCGTATGCGTGAGCGACCGTTTGCAAGAGCATCAGGGAACTATCATAGGTGTTGCGATCAAAAATCGCATCGTGTATCATATTTACATCGTAAAAAGTATTGGGCTCTTGCCACTTTAAGGTGCTAAAGCATACCTGTTTGAATTTATGTTCCTTAGTCAATAGCTATGGTGAGGATCACAATGATACGATAGATGTAATTGAACTAACAAAATGTTCCTCTACGTGAGATTCGGTTACCAATGATAAATAAACAAATTATTCGGATGTGGGATTTTATTGTGATGGTTTAGGTTTCAAAATTATGAAAAGAAGATACGATTTAACTTAGTACAATGAAACAATTGATTTGAAATACAATTTAAATGATACAATCTGGCGCAAAAGAGATTTTGTGAATCTACTAACAATGTGAAGTTGAACTATAGTGTATGTGTGATCGTCAGCTTGTTTGGTTTGGTTTACGAATAGTACGTGTGAAGAATTAAGTGGTGTGAATTACTTACTAGTGGATGCGCAGAAAGAGAGACAGAGTGAGCGAGAGCGCCAAGAGGTGCTCGACGATAGTGAGGTTGAACTGTTAAAGAGAGATTCTTGGTCCAGCCCTAAAGTGAACACTTGTACTAGACGAATGCTTTAAACGAAATGCCAAGAATTGAGTTCTTTCCTCGTGGACGCCCGTCACTGAAATGATGAACTTTCGCTCGACCCTAAAGTAAACTAGATCGAAATGGCCCTGAGGTATTTGACGGCACAACACTTGATTGACGCAGATAATCGACTCAAAACTCCAGAAGGGATATTGCTCTACCAGAGGGTTGATTAGTAACTGTCGGTGATGGATGTCGATATTTCTAAGGAAGACTTTGAATTTGGTGGGGATTTAGTGCATTGACAGGAATAGAATTCTAATTGCAGATCTTCGATCGGCAGATTCTTCTTTAAGTTAGTACATTGATCGAATCGTCTTGGATATGAGTTTAGTAAAATGCCTTTTAGGCACTTCACTTCTGGGTATTCCGTTCAGTATTATTGTCCATATCGTCCTCATCCTTTGTTTGTCGTGAACTCTCTTTCTTTCCGCTCATCCATCTGAAATATCACAGTGTAGGTGTGATATTTGGAAATGTTAGAGAGTGTGAGGTATCATGTATCTATAATATAATAATTTTTCTTAATTATTATAAGCTATAATAATTAGTAAGTAGATCACGTTTATCGAGGATCAGTTACAGTCGTTGTGGTCCTTGACATTTCGCTAACAGTGGTACCAAGGGGTGCTAGAGGGGAGGAGGCGGTGGCGTTCCGTTAGACCTAACAACAATAGCAAGCTAATGCTTTTTTTTTTTTAAAAACTACTCCCTTGGGACATCATAGCATTTTAGTTCTGAGCTAATTTAACCTAATGAAACATTTCTAAGCCCATCACGAATACTGGATGCCTAGCATTGAAAAAAAAACGTAAAGAAATTTGATGTGACAGTTCGCTTTATGGTCCTCAAAACAGCCATTACGCTGGAAATTCTTTGGGGACTGTCCCGAAAGAGCCACTTGTCCTACAAATAGCCACTGCGTAAATAAAATCGCGCTCAAAGTATCCTTTAGTAAAAAATATAATTTAGGTTTATTTAAGTTTCATCATTAAACAATCTTCAAAACCGTCCAAAAGTTTTGTATGCCTTCCCTGTGCTGAACAATATTATACTTTAAATGAAATATTTGTATTTACTATTTTCTGTCGGAGAGTAATCTTGTTAAACTAATTATTTTTCATTTGTTATATTTCTAATCATAAATCGTATCTGCCTTTTACAGGTTCAGCAATCATATCAGACAGTACCTGAAATAGCCATCGTATTAACGATTCTCGTTACATTGTTATTAGCCATAAGTGGGATCACGTACCGCTATCGACGGCGTTGTCTCAATACAAAATGTCGACGGTCCTCCTTGAACGTAAATATTATTAGAATTTCAGATAAGCCTAGTTTATTCAAATTTGGAATAAAATATTTTTCTACTGATTGTTGATATACTGAATTAATTACAGCCTTCTCCTATGAATTTGAAAAAAGGTGTGTTGTTGGCAAATAAATATACACCAAATCCTCAATACTTCACATGCATCTCTCCAGAAGTACCTATCTTGCGCCGAGATTGTCTTATGTTTCTTCACGATATTGGTGAAGGGTGCTTTGGAAAAGTTTACAAAGGTAAGTACAAAAAGTTTATACTCCATATAGATATGCCGAAATCCAGTGAGTAAATTGTAAGAAATATAATACGTCAAACAACATACAACCATGCATATTACGCGTAAATTCGTATTCAAATACATAATATGTTACGTTCAACTTTTTTATGAGGAGATAATATCGAATTTACATATCGAAGATGAACATAACGTGCTACACATTTGAATAGAAATTAATAACTTACATGTATTATGAGTTAAGTGTGATACATATGTTTCTCAATAACATTGTGTATTTTCTGGGTACCCAGCAAAAAAGTAATAATTACTCATTGGCAATGCTGGAATTTCCCACTTAAGTATCGTTATAACACACTCGATGTACGTAACGATTATATCTGTTGGTACGTAATTGTAACATTGTCGAGATGTAACTGTCACTTCATATTAGTTGTATAATCATAGTATAATGAAATGTACAGTTCTTTACATTATACGTAAAGAGGTACAATGAAATTCAGTTTGGAAAAAAAAACCTTCGTATGGTAGATTATTTTTCTAAAGTGGGCAATTTATTATTATCATTTTATGGCAGCAGATGAATAGAGTACCTGTAATTCTGTAAATTTAATAAAACTAGGAAATCAGACATCCAAGTATAGAATTCTACAGACTCATTAAATTACTTTTGTTAAATATAATTCTTATCATTTATATTTCGTGGATGTAGCTGGGTAATATTCTCAAATGAAAGCCATTGGGACATAATACCTCCTAAAATATTATGGATCATTAAGACCACAAATCATGAACACAAAACAAAGTTAAATAACATAAAGGAATGCTGGCTATATTTATTAAGTGACTCGCCTACAGGTACTCTTAGGCAGAAGAGTTGAGATACAGGCACAAAAGATTCTAATTTTCAAAAAGAATAAAAAAACAGGATTACCTACTGTTGTCATTGTTACAGGTGAGCTACGTTGCGGGGACTCTATTGAGACCGTCGCTGTAAAAGTATTGAAGGACTCAGCCTCTCGGGAAGCTGAAGATGATTTTATGCGTGAAGTCGAAATTATGTCTGCCTTTAGACACCAAAACATTCTTTCACTAATCGGAGCCGTCCTACGAGATGCCGGGAACAGTCCTTGGATGGTTTTCGAATACATGCCACACGGGGATCTAGCTGAAGTTCTTAGAGCTAATTCAAGACAGCTGAAAACGCCCACGCCAGGATTACCACCTTTAACTACGGTCTCTATATGTTTTTTTATTTAACCCTCTTATACTTATAAGAGTATGGTAGGTGGTATTATTGCTAGTCAGATTTTCAAATGATCTAACCACACAGGATTAGCAACTCATTTAAAGCTTTATTTACATTGCAAATTATCAAGAAACTACCTGTTAAAAAGAGTATTGTATCAATACAAATGTAAATTATTATCTGATGTTTTCTTCAAATATTTTTATTTCTCTGTTGCAAAAAAATCATCTATGCAATTTTAAACGTGATATAAATTCTATAATTATGATTATAAGATTTAATTAAAAGATTACAGGTGACAATTTATTATTTATAATGAGATCTTTGACATTTACTTTTATTAACTACAATGTATCTTCAATATACTTACCAGTTTTAGAAAATTAATACCGATCTTATTCAACAGGTTGTTTTGCACGTGTAATAGAATATTGATTGCTATAGTAATTTATTTATACAGGATTCGCTCTACTGGATATCAACACAAATCGTAGCTGGTATGGCGTATTTATCAGCTCAAAGATTCGTACATCGTGATCTTGCTTGTCGTAACTGCCTTGTGGGCTCCGGACTCATTGTCAAAATAGCCGATTTTGGTATGTCGCGAGACATTTATACCTGCGATTACTACAAGGTACATTGTACTCTCTCTGTTCAGTATGAAACAGCATAATTGATAAACTATTCTATATAACCCACAATAACAGCTAATAAAATAAATAATACAATACCAATGAAATAAAACAATAAAATTATCACACTCTACCTATTACCTAACGGATTATTTATTATGAATTGTTGATAAATAATTATCCAGCCACATTCAATGTTTAATACAATACGTACATCAAGAAATATACGAATCACTTAGCTCATAAATTTTACTGGAACATTCTATACTAACGTGTTGTCACAGTTCAAAATTACAGGTATAGCACTTTTCTAACCAAGAGAGTTTCAATAGTTCATTTGCTACGAGATGCATCGCAGAAGTAAACTGGATCGGAAAAACTTCTCAAATATTATATTTTACATAATAATAATACTATAATGATTGCAAAATTTCTAAATAAAAGTATCTAATGGATGTAAGCAGAACTTGCGTATTGAAACAAAGTGATTCGTATTTTCATTGAATACAGTGTCATCAATAGATCTCAGCTCTACGTAATAGAAAATTACTCATTTCTATGCAAAATAATAGTTCATTATAATACTCATATATCCTACAATACTTTATAACAGAACACATTATATTGTTATTAGTGTTATAAATTTAATGGGAATGAACTGTGAACTATGAAATATTATTCTGCCTTTAGATTGGAGGTTCACGTCTTCTTCCTGTCCGATGGATGTCTCCCGAGAGTGTAATGTATGGCCGCTTCACTCTTGAGAGCGACGTTTGGAGTTTCGGTGTAGTGCTCTGGGAAGTCTATTCCTTTGGGAAGCAACCATATTACGGACACAATAACGAAGAGGTAAACAAATCGTACCTTTAATTTGGAAAACAACTATACTCATCTTTTTATTTATTTTCATCATGCAGGTAGTGAAGTTAATTCTCCAAGGAATCATGCTCATCCCTCCAGATGACTGTCCACCATTTATCTGTAACATAATGTGTGAATGTTGGAAAACTGAACCACGGGATCGTCTCACTTTTTCTGATATTTTGAAAAGACTCGAAAGTGTTAAAGAAAAAGAACGCTTGTGTCAAGAAGGAAGTTTCCCCCGACCACCGCAAGGACCCATTACAGTTCGCTCGCCCGATGTACTGGATCTTGATGGATATTTACTTCCTGCACCCACGACTCCTTGTGAATATCTACAACCTTTACCGTCACTTATAGACTGACATCGCACAATGTACATCTCTTCGAAATAATTAACATCACAGATCCTTATTAGAAAATGACGAATTACTTATATCATAAATTAAGTTTCTCAATCAAGTCAAATGATTCGTCGTCTTCTAAATTCCTTTTATTAAATTATGTGTTACGCTTAACCATAATTGTGTGTTTTATTACGTTAAGTGTTAACATTTGCCATTTGCCCCTTAATAAAATAGATCAGCGAGGCTGACAATGAAATTCTTAACAAAATCGACAGCAGGCTAATGCCGCGCTAAAAAGTCTGGATAAGAACACCTATTCGAAGTTTTCTCCTTAGCTTCTATGCTTCAGGGTTGTCAATTAGGAATCCTGTAAAATTACTGCAATGTGGAATAGAAAAAGAAGAAGGTTCACTAATAATATTAAAATTAACAGACGATACACAATTAAAGAGACACAAAACCCTGAAACGCGCAAGTTTTATCCGAACAATATGATAACAAGAATTCATAAACGTTAATCACTTTCCTATCAATATTCTTACTTCCCTTTTCTACTTATATATTATATAAAAATCGCATTAATTTAAAATTTAATCATGTTTCAAAAGATTGCAATAAAAAAGGTGCATTGCATGAATTAATTTGCCATACCGATATTGGTGAAATTGATGATGCGCCCGGCTAGATTTCTGTAGCTCCCGGTTCGAACCCGGATTGTGGCAGATTTTTTCCCGATTTCTGTTGCTTAAAAAGAAACAACTGTTTCTAGGCAGTACAGAGTTCAAACTCTAAATCTTGCTTTGCCAATTCGCCATCATTAAAAATCCCAAAAGGCAGTCTATCCAGGATTTTCTTCACCAGAAGTCATGGCAATACGAAAAACTTTAAGTCAGAAGCACGTTTTTTTTACAGTCTGTTATACCATGACTAATAATCATGGTCCCGGAACTGAAGATGCCTTAAAAGAGTCATCTCGGACACGCAAAAATACTCCCACAATGGAAATTACAAAATATTTCTAAAACCTTAATGTCCTCTGTATTTCGAAAACGCTTCGTAGCTTAATGCGGGTTTACGATGTAGCTCAGTCTTATCTTGCATGCTCTATTTTATGACAGGTCCAAAAACGCCATCTCACATATATCGACAGTAGGTGTTTTTCGTCGTTTTTGGTATATATTTAAAATGTATGTGAATTATAACGTTCAATGTTAAAAAAATATCAATACGATCATTTTTTAACCCTCCAGTAGTGATAGCATCAATGTGCCGATAGTCATTACTCACGTGCCGACTGCTAATACGCATCCTTTAATTGAATTTTTCAGTTTTTTTAAAAAGTTGTTAACATGGAAAGTAATTGAAAACTTGTAAAATAAAATTAATTTATATACACTGATCAACGAAGAACCTTTACTTGTAATTATAATTTACACATCTGATTTATGATTTATTATTTATATGATGAAACTACTTAGCATTTTATTCTCCTCTACACTGTAATAAAATACCAAAAGATAGGGTGTCAATAACATGATGATTACTATAAAAAACGACCAATTCTTTTCAGATTGAACTAAAAAATGTAGAACACCTTATTATTCGTGCACAGATTTACAGTCCGTAATCCTGAACACAATCAATTTGGTTAATCGCCTAGCTTCGTTAATGTATAAGTAACTTAAATATCCATATTTAGCAAATTATTGAAAACAAGAAACCATACAATTCTTAAATTTTTTCGGAATTAAAAAAAATCTATTTGTGTGGATTGGGAGTCCACGGCGGATCTACCAGAGGATTACAAATACGCATTTATAACAAGTTTAATTAATAGCCTTCAAGGTACAAATTTTTGTAGAAACTATTGAATAATGTGATCAGAGTATACGGCTGCCCAGATTAAAATGCATATAAGTGCGCATGCGCGCGTGTAACGTCTCTTCCGCTTTACTTGAGCACAAGGTTCACCAGTTAGTTCTACTACCCACACAGCACACTATATTTCGAAAACATTACAACAATATTCCAATATTTCATTGCGACAGCAATGTTGCCGATGTCTTTATGTCAAATATTGCACAATATTTCAGGGCAATATAATAAATAAAACTTTCTGATACATTGCTGAAATCTCTGACAAGAGTCCCTAACCAGACTCGGAGTATCCGAGCGAACACTAGTTCGCTGCCGCGCCGCTAAGTGGCCAAGGCAACTCGCATGAAAAAACGTAGGACCGGGTAAATAATTAATCTGTCGATTATTCGGTTTTCGTCTTCGCCGTCGATATATACTTTTGTATTCTGCATGTAAAAATTACATGTGAAGTTATTGCATTTGTATAGAGGATTTAAAAATACAACCGAGGTAATATTTAAGGAGGTATAGGCAACCTGCCCAAAGAAACCCACGACACATTGCTGGCATTGGAATTTATTCTCAGTTATATTATTTCTCAGTTATGTATCTGAGTTATATTTTATTAATATTATGCATTGATATTTCCAAAATATTGACCGGCAATATTATAGCAATATTATGATTGCAACGTGCTGAGCGGACATTGCGAGGTTCCTGCAACATTCCAGAAATATTTAATCAATTTTCAATATATTTCCGGTAATATTGCATTATTTCAAGGGAAACTTTTGGCAATGTTGACAAAATATTTCTGTGCTGTGTGGGTACAGTCGTTGCTCCAATGAACACGTCTTTTTAATAGTAATGTATACTATTTTTGCCCCCTCGTACATTAAACTGTGTTGCGCGCTTGTTGTTTTCCTTGCTTGTATACGTATATTCTGTGCTTGTCTTGTCCTTACTCCCATTCTTTACTCTATTAATTGGGCTTTACTACTCCATTCATTAGGCAGCAAATTATTTACCATGTTGTACATGAGTATGCGCATTCATTGTACTCTAGTCGCTCCCTTATTGACATAAATTTTAACGCTTCTAACATATCCCTAATTTTTGTATATTTACTAACATGTAATATTGTTCGCATTGCCCGATTTTGTGCTTTCTGAAGTTTTTCTACCTCTGTTTTCCCCATGTTAATCATTATTGTGGCGCAATACTCAAAGTGAGGCGCTATTATTGTTTTATAAACGAGGCATCGCGTATATGCCGTTAAATGGTTTCCTATTCGGTTCAAGAAGCTTCTTTTCTTACCAACTTTTTTTATTACATAGTCACAGTGTTCTTTAAATAACAGTTTCTCATCTAGTATGACGCCTAAGTACTTCATTACTGCTACTCTCTCGAGTTCTGTACCCTCTTTGGTGCGTATCCTTATTTCCCTACTGCGATCCTTCCTTACACTCCTTACTATCATATACTTCGTTTTATTCCCATTCATTTTTAGTTTGTTCTCATTTAACCAATTCTCAATTATTATCAGCACTGCTTGCAGTTTCACCTCTATTTCTCCTGCGCTGTCTCCTGTTATATATATCATTGTGTCGTCTGCGAACAGTTTCACTGTCGATTCTTCGGTTTTTATTTTCACAATGTATCACAATGGATCAATTCAATGTAAGTGCGCCTAGGCAGAAGAAGCCTAAGATACGAATAATTGGAATATATGCAGAAGAGATGGAAATGAATGATAGCCAAATGATAGAAACAATAAAAACTCAAAATGACATGAATGCGTCCCATATGAAAATAATCAAGAAGATAAGAAAAACTGGAAGAGTGGGAGAGCAAAATGATAGAAGAAACACGGAAGGTACGGTGATATTTGAAGTAGATACCGAAACGCACAACAAAATAATCAATAAAAGGAAACTTAACTTGGGATGGAAAAAATGTCCAGTACAAGATTTTGTAAGTGTTGAAGATGTTTTAAATGTTGGGGATACAATCACATTGCGAAGTATTGTAAACGAGAAGAGGCGTGTCAGCACTGTGCGGGTAAGCACAAAGGCAGTGAATGCAAAGAAACCAAGAAAAGATGCGTAAAATGTATGTTTAAGATACAAAAGTATCATGAGTCGATAAGCGATGAACATGATGCACTTGATAAAGAATGTCCCACATTCAAGAGGATGATGGAAGAAGAACAGAAGAGAACAGAACACCTCGTTGATGAATAGCAATTAAGGTGCAGAAGAGAAATACTAATGTGCACAAATGCGCAAAGTTTACTAATACATAAAGACGAAATTGAAGAAGAAGTTCTTAGAAAGAGGATGCCCATGTTCTTGGCCTTGACGGAAACGAGGCTAACAGAAGACATTATGGATAGATATGAAAAGTGAATTATATTATGCAAGAAAATTGCAAGTAATAATGGAAGACTTAGGGATGAAACAATATGTACAAGAGCCAACAAGAGTCACATATGGCAGCGAGACTATGGCCACTATGGCCTTTGCCAATATGGACATAGAGGTACAGGTCCAACATACACCGAAAATAACGGATCACTCGTGGATACAAGTCACTCTCAAGGATACGCACTTAGAAACGGGAGGAAAAGAGTTCATAGCGAGGGATTCTAGCAAATACTCTGAGCTACATTACAAGATAGTATTTGGTGACATTATAAAAATGAATGAAGTGCGAAGTGGAGACGTACATGCCAAAGCAAATAGATTAGTCAGTAATATGATTAAAGCCTTAGATCAGGTTGCACCTCGGAAGAAATTTAAAATACCTAGTAAATGGGCAGGTAAGAAATGGTATTCTGAAGAAGTAAGGAAAGTAGCAGCGGCAAGAGATAAGGCATATATCAAAGCGCGATATAAAAAAACGGAGGAAAAATGGTCAGAATATAGAGTAGAGAGAAATAATTTAGTAAAACTAATGAGGAAAACGAAAAAGGATTATTACGAGAAGGTGATAGATGAGAATAGACAGAACCCTATAAAAATCTGGAAATCTCTTAAAGAAATCCTGAGGGGGGTGAATGTAAGCAAAAACGAAGTAGTGGACTTAGACCTAGAGCTTGATGCAACCAAACTCGAGTCAAATATAAGTGTAGCTGATAAATTTAATATGTT